AATGGGGCGTGGGAGGGCAGAGACGTGTTTTGAGATGGGGGACAACAGTGGGTTAGACTTTGTGAATGAGAAAAAGAAAGAACACACAGAGAAGAAACGCAGTGAGAAGAGGCGAACAGTCGAGAAGTTTGGGAAGGTAGAGAAGTGTGAGAGACGTGTGGAGAGTCCAAGTTTTTTACCACTTGGGCCAAATGAAAAGAACGAGAAAGAAGACACAAAACAAGATGAGAAGGAAACTCTCAAAGACGGTGTGAGTGGTGGAGAGTCTAAAGATGAAGTAATGAAAGAGGAGAAGCAACAACTGACTATGAAACAGAAAGTAGAAGAAACACTTTCAGCGTTTAAGGTGACAAAAGAGAAGAGTGAGCCAATCGCATTTCGACAGACGTCACGATTCTTTAAGAAGAAAGGCACAATTGCAATCAAAGAGAACACGCCACCAAGTGTAGATATAGCTCACAAACAAAATGGGTCATGTGGAACACTTCTTGAAGAATCTCTTGTTGAGGGGCGCTCAAGTTCGACGGAGGGAAAGATCAATGCAAAGCACTCCCGACTGATGGGATTGAAGCGTGATAGGGTCCAGAGTGCGGTGATTGACTTGTCGCGATTACAACAAACCCTCAACGACAATCCACTGAGTCGATCGAATGTGCACAGCTTCCCATCACAGCAGACTTTTGTGAATTGGACAAAAGAAGCTGTTCAGAAGTTGACAGTGATAGAGAGTGCGGTGAGGGGGTGTCTAGTACGGCGGAAGTACAAAGTGAACAGTTTGTTAATGCGCAAGAATGTCATCACGGAGATAGCAGACACAGAGAAGAACTTCTCAAAGAATATGATTCTGATGGACGAGTTCTTCCGGAAGCCTCTCTTGTCTTTGGCCGAACAGAAAGTTGTTGCAGCGAGTGATGTGAGTCTTGTCTTTAACAAGTCGTTTGAGCAATGTCTTCGCAATAGTATTGAACTGTCAAAGCGATTTCGAGAGATGTGTGTCAACTTCAAGGCAACAACACTACTTGGTGAGAAGATAGGGGAGTCAATCTACTTGGCTAGCGCTTTACTTGTCTTCACAATGGATTACAACATCTCACTGAAGACGTGGAAGGAGATGAAGAAGGCGGGATGCGTTCGTACGTTGGTTGATATGAATTTGAATGAAAAGGAATTGGAGAACAGAACACTGGAACAACTCCTGATTCAACCCGTCCAACGTTTAATGCGATATCCGATGCTGGTCGACGTGCTAATTAAAGCGACCTACAAGAGAAATCCTGACTATGAGTGCCTCAAGAACGCTTACACACAATTTGAGTTGTTTTCAAATGTCGTCAACGAGCGGACTAAGATGAGAGATGGATTGCAGGAAATGTGTGAGGAGTGAACAACGCAGATCTCTTTGTGATGGAAGG